GTTGATAATAATGAAGAACAAATTGCATTCCATGTATAAGGTGTCCTCAAGTCTCTTGTGAATAGCAGCGATTTTACGTTACATGTGGTAACAACATTAGGCTATGATTTTAATGTTGATTCTGACGATGACAACATGTTGAATGAGTTTCTAGGTGGTCTGGTCGACGATTTGCACAATGAAGAACAAAATACTACATCGCGCTATGGTTTGGAGAACTTTACACTCTGTTATATGCAACGTCCCTCGATTACTATAATGCAATTGATCCGAGCATCAATAAACGAAAGCATAAATTTCAGTGGTGTCATACATCTGTTTCCACGTATTATGCATCAGTCATATATATCATGATTTCGCAAGTATTTACAGAATAATGGTATTAAGACACAAAAAATTGATTGTATCAGTGATAATATATATGAAAAGTTCGAGGACACACGATTACAATTGCTTCCAGTACATGATCATGATCTACGTTGTTGAGCTCGTCAAAAAGCCATTGATATTTCTTTCTGTGATTTTCAAGCATCATATTACTGGCTACTTACCTTTAAGACAAGAAAGCATATTTGCTCCAGAAAGGCTACTAAGATATCTAACTTTTTTATTCAGTAGCTGTACCTAAGATTTCTTTTTAATTAGCTCCGACAGTTTGGAAAAAGCTAGGTTCTAAAGAGAAAACTGATCTTGTAATAAAATTGACTTGGAACCTTAAATACGAATACTGTTAATAATGTTAAAAAGAGTTTTGAAAACAGTTTCTTTTGATAAAAATTTCATGTTCTTTCTTGGAGAAAGTATTCGTTTACAATTAATTATGGCAGAAAAAAGAATGAACAAGTCTGAACTATGAGAGTGATGAACGCCAAAATTTAACAACTTATATTAAGTTTGACTGAACCAGTTTACGTTTATAAAATAATTCCATATACGTCACTTTGAAATGCTTTTTTATTATAATAGGCTATGACTAAGCGTGAAGTTGCGAATGAAGACAATATAAATGAGTCTTCTGAGCATTTTATAGAAAAAGTTCAAGATTTATTACCAACATACAATCATAAAGCAGTTCTTAATACTAATCAGATGACGTTTAAGTTCGAAATGTATTCAACACGGATATTATTCTATGTGGAAAAAAAGACTGTACTCTGATCTGCTCGGTCAAAAAATAAGACTTCACATCACTATGCCGTACAACGAACAACCAATTTAGCTGGATAAATTGTTGGCTTGGTATTCGTCTGCTCGCAGGAGAAAAATGTTATAATGAGCTAAAATATTCGCAAAAATCTTTCATATGCAGATAATGTTGTTACAAGTTGCTGGACGTCAACTAAACGAAGTACTTGACATGTTCAGTATTAGATTGACAACTGTCTTTTTTTCTTTGCTTCCTCATTCTCTCACTTTGTTATTATCGGATTCGTGAAACAGTTAAGGTGATCGCCATGGATTTTTATGAAAACATAAAAGGGCTGAAGCGTTTTCGAATTCCATTGAAAACTACATCGAAGATCTAACCTTTCGACATATTATTCTTTAATCGCCAGTAGATAGCCATTGCTTGTCGTATGTATGTATGACCGAAGACTTCTCAATGATATGGATATCACGAAACGCACCAACATGCTAAAACTATACAGTCACTTATTCACAGTTAACTATCATCGTCTGTCTTTACATCTATGATTAAATATGCGTGGTTTAAAGCTGGATATCTTAATACATATCCAGGCCCATTCAAAACTGTTACTGAAGTTTGCTTCGGATTGATGATTTTGAATGTCATGTGCATAACTGTACCTTGTGTACGTTCATCCGATGTAGTCATCGTAGTCAAATATTGTATATTGATCATTTCTTCGATAACTATCACTTTCATTGAATCTATATGTTACATTCAATTTCCCTAGTTTTTATTTATTCTAGTATGATTTATAAACATATCACTAAACATAGATCGTATGATGAAAAGTAAGCGAGTGCATTCGTTTTATTTTAATTAACTGAAACACTGATGACTGAGCTGAAATTTTTATCTAGATGCTAATTAAAAAATGAATGTCTGCTAAAAATATTAGATGAATCGATGTTTAGATATTTGAGCAATATATCACATGTTTTTTTAATATTCATTTGTTATGTTAAATAAATTCATATGCTCGATAGAAAACATCAATTTATCCTTAAATTTAGTATTCCTAGTCAGTAATAGATGTTATATTTAGTGATATAAGTTTAAGCTGCATCAGAAAAGAGCGTAGTAAAGATATAAAAGAAACAAGTACAATAGTACAATAATACTGTTAATAGCACTAAGTGTATATTTTGGCTCAGGAAGCCTGGCAAACCGAACTATTCTATGGTGTTTAATAGCTCAATGAGGTCTATCTTTTGAGTATATACTCGATTCAAAAGCGAATTGATACCTGGATATGCTCTCTCATGAGGTTGCTATATGTGAACAATCACCAGTTGCGATTTCGATGCATTTCCGCATGAAATTTGTTGTGAGCGTTTCAAAATGACAGAAGAAGTGAATGGGTATGGGATATGGGTACAGCTGCAGAGATGACCAACGCGTAGACACAAACTCAAATTAAAAAATCATGCCGTATCACTAATTTGTATACACGGCTTCATATGTTCTTGGAGCCAAAAGTGGGCAGGATAATATGAATTGAGGAGCCTGAATTTGTACTTGTATTGTACTTTATGTGGATTCGTAATAATACTTTCATGTATTGCAAGACACACAAATTCAATAGGGTCATTTTGTTCGTTTTCTTTACCCATATAAAAAAGGCGACTCAAAATTAGATTAAAATAGATTATATTCGGATTAATAATCTGTTATAATAGCACTATTTTAATCTGATTAAAATCAGATTTTTTAGTATTAAAAGAAAAAATTATTTTTGTTTTAATCTATTTTAATCGATTACCAAAATTTAATCCATTAAAACTGATTGTTAAATTAATTAATTGATTAAAATAGATTAAAAGAAAAATTATTTTTTCTTTTAATGCTGAAAAATATGATTTTAATCAGATTAAAATAGTGCCATTGTAATAGATTTTAATCGAATTTTTAGGCGTCTTTTTTACATGGGTAGCTACAAATCGTGTTCAAAATTACAAATGCAAGAAGTTTTTGTACTTGATCGAATGTCTTCCTTGATAAATGCTTAGAAAAAAAGAAACATTTCATGCACACTTATTGAGGCTCTTGCAGAGAGGAGTGAAATGATTCAATTCGGTAATGGATTTATTTCAAGTACTAGAAGCAATACAAAGAAAATTATTGAACTGTATCATAAATACTTATCCTGACTCTGATAAACAGGAACCGCATAAATCGTTCACACAATATGTACCTTGCTGCACTGTATTCACTCTTCATGAATTTACAAAACGCGAACATTAATCATTTTTGCTACATGTCACTCAAATGTTTCTATCGATATTTTTGTTGGGAACATATTGTTTTTTTGTCTTTGTATGGAGAACGATCATTAGATAATATCCACTATAAATATTGTGTGAAATACTGCAAAGCTCTTACAAAATCATGCAATGGTTACTTGATACTAGTACAACTCTCTCTTAATGCACATAGAATTCAATGAGAGGAACAAAGGTCACACATTCATTACATACGTAGATCTAAACGATTTGTTCCCCATCTTGATATGTTGGGCTTAGCGCTTGGTGAACGTCATCACATGGGACGAAAGACTATGTGTCGAAGCTGGATGCACGTGACTTTGAACGTTTCGTATTGTTACTGGGAGTCTATCTAGTGTGGTACTAGCGTAATCTCTTCGTTCATTTCTTTCTGTTCTCTACTTTTCTTTTCGGTGTCTTTTCGTTTTTTTCTTTTTCTGTTTTTTCTTTTTGCTACTTCTTTTTGTGCTTGTCCCTTCTTGTGTCTTACTTCAGGCTTATTTTTTTCTTTTCTTTCTTATTATTTTTTTCTAGTTCTTTTCCTCTGTTTTTGTTCTCCTTCTCGTTTTTTTTTCTTTCTTTTTGATTTTTTTGGATACTGTATCTTTCACGCTCCTTTAGAACCGAAATAGGCCATGTAGTAATAAATAAAAAAAGCCTCATGATTTTCGTGAATTTTATATAAAAAACATAAAAAAAGCCATTTCTCATAATAGAACGGATAAAAAATTAATGTTTTTCAAATATATTGATGAAAAGCGCCTTTTTAATTAAGTAAATACAGTGTATTTCATTTTTAATCAAAATCATGCAATTAAATTAATGAAAATGTTTATTTTAATCGATGAATTTGAAATACATGAGTTTTTTCGTCTGTTTCATCATTCTAATGCCATTTTTTAACTCCCTAGAGGTCACAGCGTGTTAAAAGGCAATATATATTTATATATATGTATATATATAACAAATCATTCATACATCGAATATTTCGTGTTTCTATTGTCAAGCGGTTCTTCTACACCTTATCGATTTTAGTTTTGAATCGATGATAATTTGGCAACAAATGCACATGAAATAAACACGCGAAAACTTTTAATATATTTTATCATTTGTGTAATGTGACTATTTTTGAGGCAAAGACAAACTTTTTGTTTTATGTCGGATTTTATTTTCGATCGTGTGACTTATTGTATTATTAGGCAGTAAATGAAAGTGACGGTTCTAATGGAAAATGCATCGCTTCACTCACTAACAACATCAACTGTCCAATCAGAACAATCATTGATCCAACCGTGCATGTCAACGAATATTTTTCTACCGTAAAAAAAAACACCACATACCTGCTTATCATACCAGTTTAGTTTCTTTTTCTTCTCATTATTCGAGCGTGACGCTGATGATATTTTAAATAACTATTTTTCTTCTATCGATAAAACAGAAGCGTGTTTCGGTTGTTTTTTCTTCATCACTGGGCATAATTTTAATATAGCATAGTTCGTTTGTTCTCATTGATCTTTTATTAACGTGAAAACAATTTGACTAAAATCATGACTGATAGCAATGCTACTGGAGCGTCAACCAACGATAACACTATTATTTATGATTCAGGTGACAATTCTTGGATGTTAACGTCAACAGTATTAGTGCTATTGATGACACCTGCACTGGCATTTTTCTATGGTGGTATGGTCGATCGAAAGAATATTTTAAATCAATTATTTTTATCGTTTATTTGTATGGGCATTATAACTGTACAATGGGTTTTAATAGGTTTTTCATTTTCATTTGGTCCACCTGTAAGTAAAGGTTTCGGTTCATTTGATTGGGCAGTATTACGTTTTGGTGAAGTTGAAAATAAAGATTATAGTCCTACGTATCCTCTGTTGACATTTTGTATGTATCAATGTACATTCGCAATTATTACACCAGCTCTCATTTCTGGTATGTCAAATAGTTCGATGATGGTAAATCATTTTTGTTGACTCATTTCAGGTTCTATTGTTGGTCGAATGAAAATGATTCCCTATATGATATTCATATTTATTTGGTCGACAGTCTGCTATGATCCAATGGCACATTGGGTTTGGGGTAGCAATGGATGGCTGAAAACTTTAGGAACACTTGATTTTGCTGGTGGAACTGTTGTTCATATTCTTTCGGGCGTCTCTGGATTTGTAGCTTCGATCATTTTAGGAAAACGACACGATTATGATCCATATAGTACCACTGCTCATAATCTTCCATTTACAATTTTGGGCACGTCCCTATTGTGGATAGGTTGGAACGGGTTCAATGGGGGTTCTGCTGGTGCTGCCAGGTATACTATATAGAATACAAATAACAAATTAAGAGAAAAACATTTTTCTATTCTAGTCATTTGGCAGCTGTGGCTGTGATCAATACAAATACAGCCGCTGCTTCTGCGATGGTAACATGGGTAATGATCGATGCTGCACGTGGTCACATATCAATTTCTGGCGCTTGTACGGGTTCTATTGTTGGTCTTGTAGCTATTACGCCAGCTTGTGGTTTTGTTCAACCTGGCTGGGCAATACTCATTGGCATTCTTGGATCGGTCATTGTCTATTCGATTTTGTTGTTCAAGCGATATATGCGATTCGATGATACACTAGATGTAGCTGTTGTTCATGGTTGCGGTAAACATTTTTTCTTATGTGGTTTATTGTAAAATAAGTAAAATTGTATCCGTAGGTGGTATATCTGGTGCTTTTATGACCGGACTATTCGCTCAAAAATGGGTTAATCCAAGTGGCGGTGCTGATGGCGCATTTTATGGACACCCTGTTCAACTTTGGTATCAAATTGTAGGCATTCTTACTGCTATTGGTAAATCGGAAACCGAGTTTAATTAAATCCTGTATTGTTTTGTGTCTTTTTTAGGTTTCGCTGCTGCATGTACAGCCGGAATTCTGCTTCCATTACACTTTATCATAGGTATTCGATTGCCGCGTGAGGATGAACTTACAGGACTCGATATAGCAGGTATGATCGGTTTAATATTTGTTTTTCCAAGAAAACGTAATATTATATGTATTATTATAGCTCACGGTGAAAAGTGGGAAATAGCTGCAACGCGTGCTGCTGCCGATCTTGTTGATCGAATGCGAGAACAAGCTGGAGACGGAGGCGATTTTGAGCACGACAATGGCACTTTTGAACTGTCATATAAACCTGCCAATACTAATGCCAAACCGATCACATTAAAATATTCTGCTTTAAGTGCATTACCATGTTTACTGCCTACTCTTAATTTTAGCGAGAACCATAATCAACAACACAGTGATAGTCAGACAGAAAGAGACCATAACGATTCAACCATGACAGATGATCAAGTTCACACAATGCATTTTTGACAAATACCGAACGTGATACAAACGTTTTATTTATTAAACAATTAATCGCCTTTATTTTCGAGTAATTATTAATTGTAAGGATAGTTATCTGTAATGCAGATATCGTATCGAAGTTACACCGGTTGACGAAGTTATAACTTCGTCAAACATGAATGTCGAAGTTTTAATTTCGACAAAAATTTTTTTTAAAATTATTTTAATACAACAAAATAAAAAATAAATATCAATTACTTCATGATATGATAAATGTTTTATATATTTACAATTGATTTTTCATTTAAAAAAAATACATACAAGAAATTGTTGAAAAACCTTAATTTATTTTTGTTAAAACTTTATATAATTATCAACCTATGCTGGCGATAATACCCCTGTATTTGATTACGATCGAACTATAATCGCACTGTGACCCGTAACTGCAACACAATTTTTTGCAATTACGGGTCACAGTTCGATCGCAGTTACTAAAAAGAATCATTGGTCAGAGATCCAAATTCGACATTTGTTTTTTTATTTTCATATTTTTATTATGAATCATTAGTAACTTAAAAAAATGAATGACAGATAAAAAAAATTTAAAATTACAATAGAAAATTAAAATTAAAAAATACTAAAATGAAACAACTTTTAGTAAAAAACAACTAATATTACCAAACTAAAATTGAAAAATTAAAACGAAAAGAATTAAAGTAAAAACAAAATAATTGAAAATTTTTTGAAAAATCTAAAATGAGAAAACTTGGAATAAAAAGATTAAAATAAAAGGAAACTAAAAATAAAAATTAAAAAGTACAATAAAAAATTAATATTAAAAACTTACAATTAGAAAACTAAAATTAAAAAAAATTTAAATGGGAATAAAAAAACTAACATTAAAAATTTTTTAAAATCTAAAGTAAAAAAAATTTTTAAATCAAAAGATTCACATTAAAAAAAATAAAATTAAAGATTAAAATTAATAAAATAAACACAAATGAGGCTGGATACTGTATTCGGTGTAGAAGGATGAAATAGAAGCCATACTATCACAATGGCTTCCTTTTATATGGTCACCGTGTAGCTAAGTCTCAGCGCTAGGGTATAAACCATTACAACCAAGTCGAAACTGTTCGTGATTGATTTTTATCATATACAGGGTGTCCCAAAAATCCGAACGGATAAAAAAATTGAATATCTTCATCGCTCTTTGCTCAAATGAGCTCTTTTCTTCCTTGGTGATAGAGGATACTTTAAAAATTGTTTCGTAAGAAAACTGTTAACAGATACTACTTTTAACCATCACTTTTAACTTCGATATCGAAATGTACACATTTTCGATTTGTCAAAAAATGCTTTCGAGGGAGAGTCCCCGAGATGATTTTGAGCCCATATGATGATTCGAAGCTTTTAAGGCTATACTTTTCCCATTGCTAGAGGACCATTGGAGTATAAAGACCTCCAAAAAGTTCATGCTCTTGTGCAGTTTTGGCTGGAATATGGAATTTTTAGTGGATTATCTCCCTGATGACTCCAATTTTTCGAAGAAAATTAAGGTTTCGAATTTTGACCTGAAACTTTGGTCAAAACGAGGTCGCATTAAGGCTAGCTTTTGGAGAGAATTTCAAAATTTTTGGACATAGTTTTTTCGAGGTATGGATTTTTCAAATTTCTCACAGTATCCATGGAAAAACGTCTAAATTTTGAAAAATTCATATTCCGAAAAGACTATATCCTAAAGTTCTGAAATTTTGTACTGAGGCTAGTCTGAGTGAGACCTCGCTTTAGCCTAAGTTTCAAGTCAAAATAAATCATCTAGGGAAATTTCCTTCGAAAGTGCTTTTTTAGAAATCGAAAATGTGTACATTTCGATATTGAAGTCAAAAATGATGGTTGAAAGTAGTATCTGTTAACGGTTTTCTTATGAAACAAAACTTTAAAGTATCTTCTATCACCAAGAAAAAAAAATGAGCTCATTTGATCAAAGGACAATGGAGATATTCAATTCTTTTTATCCGTTCGGATTTTTGGGACACCCTGTACATTGGATCGTACGATACGAGTACTGCAACGCAGTTGTGAAAAAAGAGGTGACATGGGTAATGTCTACAACTAAATTAAAGAGATCTGTACAATAGTAGACTCAGATTTAAACAACATATAACCAAAGAATTGAAACAGCTTTCTTAATGTTTTATTCTAGGATGTTTTGTAGTGTTTATTGTGAACTTGGTTATTCATTTTCAATTAGGTGTAAGCCTAAAAATGAAGATAAATGAAGCCTCTCATTGAAAGTAAAAGCACAGGGAAGATTTTCACAAAACACCTAGCTTCGGGAATAGAATTCCTGTTCCGGAATGTGATTTTATTCTAGTGCAGTCAAGCTATGCTATATACTGTAAAAGGTAGATCCAACTGTTTCAATCAATATAATAAATCTAGAAAACGAATTCCTTAGAAAATCTTGCCGATCGCGTTTTAAGGTTGAAAGTTCCTCTCACTGCTTTATCTACTACTGCTATGGTATTTGTCTAATATCTTCCTCTTTGAGATTTGGTTCACTGGCAGAATTTATATTGGACTGTACGCACGTATTACTGAGATGTGAAATTAAGGAATCCAGTGAGGTGAAGCAGAGTCGCAGCCGGTTTGGTTAAAAAATATTTTATAGATAGAGTCAGGTTACCTAATTTTGCAGGAAAAAACCATCTTCACAAAACCATTCATAACTCAAGTTTTGAGCTATTCACGGCATTGATTTTTGTTTTCGGAATAGAGCAAACATTTCTCTATCGATTCATATATGATTGACTAAAAAATGTTCACCCAGTACCGCACAGTAACAGTCAAACTAGGAGGGTAGTCATTTTTTATCCGATTCCGCTGTGTTTTTTGTTTTGCCGGTCAATGTATATTTTCCTAATTCTACCGTTTACACGTAAAATGGCGGTAAATTCCAGAGAAAATTAAATTTCTCTATGAAGATGACCATTAATTGATATACAACACATATCATTCGATTCCTCTAATAATGGTACGTCGACACGAGCTTTTTTCAATAAAATTCGAATTTGTTTTATTCGACTTTTTTCATTCACAAAACTAAGAAGTTTCGAAAAGTTCGCTTTTGTTCTTAATTCTGCCGACCTATACAAATAATTTTTCTATTTGTGCTCCAGTAGGTTAATTTTGTTCCTAATTTTCCCGACACTTTAAAATTAGTACTAATTCATAAAATAAATTAATAATCGTAATTAAAATACCAAATTTCATTATAATTCTTATGTGAAATTAAAAGTCTCACATTTCTTTTTATTGTTTTTTTGTGTTTATTTATTCACAAACTGATTTCCAAGTAGATATTCATAAATTTTATTTTCATCCAGTTAATGAAGTTATTTTATTGAGCTAGTTTTGCTTTGTTCATATTATAGTTCAAGTTCAATGAATACAACAAATTTTTATAAAAGTATCACAGCATATACAAAGCTAAAATAAAAATCTTTTTTTATAAAAATATACAAGTAACAAAAACCATAAATTTAATTCATGTAAATGAAATAATTACAAAATAGTTGAAGCGCTAGTATTTGTTACAGATGCAGTATATTCAATAGCTATATCCAATTGTTCTTGAGCGTGTAATTCATAATCCATTTCATCATTTTTTTGGTCATCGTCGATCATCATTAGATTCGTTTTGTTTTCCTTCTTCAAATTATTTTTTTCTGTCTTCTCTGCTTTGAAAGAAGATTTTTTATTTTTCTTCGTGCTATTTTTCTTATTTTCTTCATCAAATTTAATAGGATTTATACCTATAATATTGATACCAGTTTTATTTTTTTTTAATCGTGATCCTCTTGGCATTTTCGGTACAAGTTCAGATTGAAATGCTTGATTTTGTTGCTCGGATAAAATATTTAATAATACTTCATGTACTGCATCAATAGGTTGTATCTGTGGTTTTTCAACGTTTGGCATATTTCATTCTAAAATAAAAAATGTTCAATCTTTCTTAGATAAATAAATAATTTTTTTACCATTCGAAGATATTGATAACAATATCTGAATCATTTGTTGTGTTGGACTAGCTACAGGAAATGATTCACTATAATTAATTTGTGTGACGAATTCAACTGGTTGTAACGTAGTATAACTAGAATTGGTTGGTAATGAAATATCATCGTCAACTGGGACAGGTTGTAATGGCTTAATATGTTGCATTTCAGGAACTATTTGTTGAATATCAGTTGTAGCTTCATCAAACGTCGTTCTAGAATTGCCTGTAATGTTAATAATAGAAACGCCGGGTGCTGTTGCTGGTTTTTATGTTATGATTGATTGTGATATTGTTGCTGTTCGCGAACTTGAGTTGGTTGGGATGTTGGTGAGATGATAGAAGATGAGTTATCAGATGAAGCATTTGATGAATAAATAGAATGAGTCATGAGAATATTTATTGGTGGCGTATTGGTTCTTGTTGAATTGGAAGGAGAGAACTTTGATGCAACCTTTTTGTTCATTATTGCATGCTCATTGAATGTCCACACAGTAATAAAAAGAAACGATTACAATTTTTCTTTTCCCTATTGAAATTTTATTGTAATTATAATAATAGATGTCAATGTATAATCGGTTCAACCGAATCAATAATTTCACAGATACTGTAGATCTGTCCTTAACTAAACAGACAGTTAGTATGCAAACAGAAATATTATGTCCGATGTATTTTTCAACAACAATATTATACCTTCACAATACTCAACCACACGTGTTCTTGAAAAGGCTTGTTTATCAATAAATAATTTTTTCATAATTGTTGGTGTATGAGAATTCTTGATGGACTTATTATAAGCCTTCAGATGGTTTTTTTATTATATTAGACAAGTCTTTTTTTATTTTATTGAAAAGAACGACGTCGATTGACTGTAAAGCATGCGTTGAGTGTGGTGGGAGCATTCAATAAATAATTTAATATTCTTGCATCAATTTTATCACACTGATATTGACACGATCCGCATGTCAATCGACGATTAATAAAAGAGGACGATTTATATGAAACGTTGCTGAAATAAACATCTCACGCAACCAATACTCGAATGCCCATGAGTTAATCCATTTCTGTTTCGAAAAAAAAGAAAAATAAAGAAAACACGACAATAGAGTTTTATATATCTTTTCAGTAACAGTGTAATGAGTACCCTTTGGACCTCAATTACACCAATTGTCGATTAAACTTTTACCGGAATAAATGATGAAAGATGGAAGAACTTGACCAGCTGCATTTATAACAATTAAAGCAGTTGTATATTTTTTTCCCAAACCACCATTTTTTTCAAATGTATGACGAGTACTTGAATTAACAATTACGTATTTTCGTTGAAAAAATGAATAGCATAAATCAAATTTTATCATATGAACATTTTACTATCGGTCTTGTCACTGAAGCCAGTTTCATCAGCGTTGAAATTTTGATTTGGCTTGCCCATAAGATCGTTTTTCTAACGTTGATTTACGCAATGCAAATCAACCTTAACAAGTTTCTTCAGTAAATTTTTCAGCACGTATTCGTTCTAATTTTTCTTTTTTTTCCGTTTGATCTTCATACGATGCCAATTAACAAATGTTTTCAACCATTTTCGTCCAGGTACGAACAATAAGTCAAGTGACTTCATGTACTCAGATGAGATTTCAATGCAATATCAGTAGTTATTGAAAAACCGTAATCAGGTAAATTTTGAAATACTGAAATAAAATAATTTTCTTCATTGTCACTAAGATAACGAAGTCGATCGGGGCCAATCTTTTGCAATGGCACTTGCCTATGAGAACGTATAGTTCGTTCTGGTACATTGCATGTTTGGTTGCTGCAGCTGCACTTAGATTACTGTTAATCGCATCAATCAGGTTCTGTTTTGTATATTTCATGAAAACAGAGATGTATAATTAATTTTCAAAAATTTATCAATTTCTACTTGGAAATCAGTTTGTGAATAAATAAACACAAAAAAACAATAAAAGAAAAACAATTAATTGATCGACGATATCGAATACAATCCAATAAGTGATGTTTATAAAAAAACAAATATACAAATAAATGAAGTGGACATTTTCTAATAGAGGACGTGATTCACTTCAAGTAAAGCGATTACATCATCTATTTTAATTAATGTTGATTGAAATTTAGTTGACTCAACAAGCAACTATAGTAAAACTAACTAAATAAAACATAGGTGAGGTTATCACCAGATTCAAGTATTTCTTGCCCAGATTTGCCCAGTAACTTGTTCCAAATCTTCTATGTTGTTCCGAAGTAAAACTTGACAAGCTCTATCCAACAGAATGCTCAGATTTTTCACAACTGAAACCAGTCGCAAACAAAATCGATTTTCCCATCTTTTCCCATGCAGTCAGGGACCCAGAAAAGTATTTCCAGTCCGGATTCGCTCAGAAAATTCTTCCAAGTCTCTTATTCTCGTTCCAAGTAGAACTTGACGAGCTCCGTCGATTGGCGAAATCAGATTTCTCATAACTGAAACCAGTCGCCTGCAAAATCGATTTTCCAGTTGTTTATGTATGAGATCTATGGACCCTACAAACTATTTCCAACCCGAATTCTCTCAAGAAATTGTTCCAGATCTCCCATTCGTATTCCAAGTAGAACTCGGCGAGCTCTATCCAACGGTATACTCAGAGTTGCTACAGTCCAAAGTGTGATTTTTGGGACCATAGATGGCGCTGTAGAAAGCCAGAAAATTATAGTTCGGATTATGGAAAATCTGAGCATACCATTGGATAGAGCTCGTCGAATTGTACTTGGGACAAGAAGAGAAGACTTAAAACAAGTTCCTGAGCGAATTTGGGCTGGAAATACTTCTCTGGATTCATGGGCTCCATGGGAAAAAAATGGAAAAATCGATATTCTAGGCGATTGGTTTTAGTTATGGAGAAGTTGGGCATACCGTTGGATAGAGTTCGTCGAGTTCTACTTGGAACAAGAATTGAAGATTTGGAACAAGTTCCAGGGCGAATCTTGGCTGGAAATACTCGTATCTCGTGATAACTTCACCTACGTCTACATAAAATGGCTGCATGGGTTGTTGAAAATAAATTATAAAACATTTTACTTCATACTATAGTAGTATGTGAGTGTGACCCTTTAATTTGATATAAGAACTATAATGAAATTTGGTGTTTTAATTACGATTATTAATTATTTTATGAATTAGTGCTAATTTTAAAAGTGTCGGGAAAATTAGGCGTAAAATTAACCTACTGGGGCATAAATAGGAAAATTATTTATATAGGTCGGCAGAATTAAGAACAAAAAACGAACTTTTCAAAACTTCTGAGTTTTGTGAATGAAGAACGTCGAATAAAACAAATTCAAATTTTATTAAGAAAAGCACATGTCGACGTACGGGCATTAGAGGAATCGAATGATATGCGTTTTATATCAATTAATGATTATCTTCATAGAGAAATTTAATTTTTTCTGAAATTTACCGCCATTTTACGTGTAAACGGCAGGATTAGGAAAAAAGATACATTGACCGGCAAAACAAAAAAACAGCAGAATCGAATAAAAAATGACTCCCCTCCTATTTCGTCTATTATTGTACGGTATTGGGTGAACATATTTTAGTCAAGCATACATGTATATGAATCGATAGAGAAATGTTTGTTCTATTCCGAAAACAAAAAATCAATGCTGTATGTAACTCAAAACTTGAGTTATGAACGGTTTTGTGAAGATGATATTTTTTTTAAGCAAATTTAGGTAACCTGACTCTATGCCAATTATTCTCATAGAACTAGTTGATAGCAAGTTTTCATGCTTTTATCAAAATAACGGACTTGTTTTATATTGAAAATTGTATTTTATTTTATTTTATTTATTGATCAATTTATTTCATTTCATTTTTTTAATCGAAGTACACTTGATTTTTTTAAAGTACAACCCGCGAGTATGAAATGCATCAAAACAATGATGCAAAAGTTAGCAGAACTCATTTTTGATATTCGTATTCGAAATATGACATCGAGAAAACCCTATAGTGCAAGTTCTGTTGAAAAAATCCGCAAACGTCCATTAGAAATCGTTCAAGAAAAACAGTATAAAAAAATTCGCCTTTTGAAGTTTTCCAAGAAATGTGGATTCATAATCAAAAGTAATAGTGATTTTTGCTGAAGAATTTTCCACTGAGGCATCTTTGTTGAATTATAATCAAAGAAATTTTGTTCTTCTTAATGAAAACAGCTCACTGTCATGAACAACCGTTTACAAAGAAATGAAACGAGAAAGATAGATAAATACATATAATGTATAATTGATAGATCATGAACTATAGAGAAAGAAACGAAGGATATTCGAAGATGAAATATTTTGCTTTTTGTAGAAAAACCGGCAACATTATATCAGACCAGTCTGATCAACGGGTAGATAAAAACTTCAAATCTATGGTTCATCGTAGTACAATTTGTCACTATGATATTGGCTGCTATTGATTCTGGATGAATATACTGTTTTATTATCATTATCTGAGAAACGCTAGTTTCAGATGACGCATTGATTCACTTTGAAACACAATATGTGAATATAGTATCACTTTTGGATCTCATACTTTTGGCTTTAAGATATTTGAAACTTATTCATCATCTTGCAACATTGACATAAATGGTTTTTCACGTTACGAAGGTTGAAGAAATCATTTTTGATGTGAATAATGATAAGTCTATTAATCTAATTCTTTGAAAACAGAAATCCTACTTTTCAATTGAAAGAATGAAGAAAAATTCATTAAAATAAATTCAGATGAATAATCATTTACTGATATAGAGGAATCAATACGGATATACTCCATATAAAAATCATGTACGATAGAACAGTTACAAATAGCACGTAATAATGCTTCATAGGAAATATTACGATGAATATAGTGTAAATAATTGGCTTTTAAGGAAACTTAGACATGTTCTTCCATTGTTGAAGCTATATAAGCTTTATCTTAATATGATGATATCAAATTGAAGGACTAACTTTACCACTATTCTCGATGGTGATGTTGATTGAGCTATTTCATATTTACAGCTGCGTCAGCTTCCCATAGAACACAGGCTTGTTTACGAAAAGAGACGAACAGAGACAGATATTATACAGACAACGATGAGTAGAAAAAATGGCAATAGATAGAGTGTGTGGGATTGACAATATTGTTTAGATTTTCAAAAAGGGAAATTTCAATCATTTTTGTTCCAATTTGTTTGATACTTCTCAAAATTATATAATTTCTGAAATCTCTGAAACTTCCGTAATTCTGGATTTACCGAAATTTTGGAAACTACCTGAATTTCTACAATTTCCAATATTTCTAAAAACTTTTGATTTACACTGTTTGTTGATGTTCAACATGCTTCGTGTCGATCTCGAGTAAAGAGCACAGCAATGACCCCCCGTTCGATTCAGTTGACTCCTTTCGGCAGTTTCTCTTGGAGAGACGAGTGAACTATTTTTTTTGTATATCTAACAGTTTTCTCAGCATTTCAATTTCAATTTGTTAAAGAAAGATCGATAAAGCTGATTACTTGCTGAAATAAGCCGCCAATATTGTCTATCATCTTCGGTTATTCAATAAGTAATGCATCTTTTTTCAACCTTGATCTCTGGACATAATCGTCTTATCGAGCAACATAGGGATGCAATATGAAAACAAGTATTCTTATTGTAGTAAAGCTGGCTATTTTGTACATAAAACAAATCAAAAAAAGGAAAGCAAAGCAAAACCAGTGGTCTTCATTACGAAGATTCATGCTTGAAAAAAGTAAATAAGAGAGACAATATCAAAATTTGAGTGTTCTTTTAGTTGCCAATAAAGTCTTGCTGGCGTTCTACGCAGTTCAATTGAATTTAGAACAACGGAGATATGCGTTGTAATAAATATGGACATTGTCCAATAATGATTTGGTAAAGACGTAATGAGTGCCAGACAAAAATTGTTAAGGCTGATGTCAATCCTCCGTAAGGTTCAATCAGTGTTGTATATATGTAGACAACATTATTTTGTTTTGTATAATGATACTGACAAATCGATGGAGCACATAATTTACAATATTTGGAATCATTCGCTGAATAAATCCATGACTCTAGTGAATGCTCGTCTAGAATCAAGCCGATTTGAGTCGTCGATGAGAATCGCGTTGCACTATGATTGAATTAAGTGAAAAAACTACTTAGAGCTCTATTGAGTTCATCCACGCAAGTATCACCGTCGAAACATTCGAATGTCGAGTGAGAAAGACCATTCATAAGTGAGCATACAATGACTAAGCTGAAATATACGAAAGATAAGAGATAACAGTCGGAGTTTTTCAAATATCTTCTAATTTTAGGCATTCTTGGGAAGCTCAGAAAGTCACTGTCAAATGATAGAACCGTATGAGAANTAAGTCTAAGAGAGAGTTGCTCTATATATTATTAAAGACGAGACGTTATACTATATATTGCCTTAGTAAAATATTCAATATTTATTGCTTTATTAAATTTTAAAAACTGTGATCAGAACTTTTGGTATACCCTAAGTAAAAGGTTTAATAATAATGCGAGCATCGTTTTAACATCAGCATCAAATATACTTGTAGACTTGCCTTTTGCTTCTGATGAACATTCTTTACCGTTGTGATGAACATCAACATCATGATAACTTGCTGTACAAACTTCTCGTTTGACAAATAATTCTTGAACTAACAAAAAATAATGCTTTTCAATTGATTCATGGTATGTATATTGTTATATGACGACAAGTATTCTTTATCTGACAATTATAATTGAGTATAGACTTCTACTATAAACGAGAAACATGATTTTTTTGTGTATGGATTTTTTGAAAACATTCAAAAATACCTTCATCTCAGTTAGTCGAAGCATAAGTAAATGGATCATCCTGTTTTTTTATTAGTATTATAATGATATTTTTTTAGTAGAAAATCTATTAATTTTTAAGTGCAATATACATAGACAATATTAAACTATTCTCGATACCAAAAAAACTTTTTTGATGCAGATTTTCTGAATATCGTACACAGAAAAAAGTTTTGACCTTTCATTGAAAAAAAAATTCTCTTTTGAAAACTTACCATGCATATCAATGAGAAGTTGATTCATTGATTTTGGCATGTTGTTGGGAGCTGGTAAAGCAGACTGTATAAGTTGTACTAATCGATCACTATATGATTTGCACATTTTGGCATCACGTAGTAAAAGTAATAAATTTTTGCAATATGCTTGTGTTTTCATGCTTGTGACATCATGAAGAAATGAATCAGTTTCATTAAACAATGAACATACAGGGTGTTCTAAAAGTCCGCCGAAAAGTTTTTCGCAAATATCTTTTATATAATTCAATTGTTTTGACTGTTTTTTTTTTATTATATGATAGTAGGTTCTTTAAAGTTTTATTTCATATATTTTCAGATAAATATCTGTTCCCACGAACATTAGAATAAAAATAGTTTTGTTAATGGCTAAATTTGAATCACGTACGGTTGTCCAGCGAATACTGCAAGCCGAGTTCGGCAAGAATGCACAAAAAAAGGATTGCATCATAGCAACATTTCAACGCTTTTGTGAAATTGTTACAGTCGAAGATCGAGAACGTTCAGGAAGACCTTCAAAAATTACAGAAGAAAAGATCGAGGAAGTTCATGATGTTATTGAAAATCAACAACAATCGAGTGTTCGAACGATTGCAACAACCTGATCCATGTCAACAACAACAACACATCGAATCATGAATGAATATCTTTCATTGAAATCGTACAAAGCGCAATTTGTTCAAAAACTCTATGAAGAAGATTTGCAGGATAGAGTTGATATGTGTCAAGTTCTGATCCCGATGTTAAAAGACAATGGCGTTCAATAAAATTTATTTTTTTCGGACGAGGCTACATTCTATTTAAATGGTTTAGTCAACAAGCATAACATTAGATATTGATCTGAAAATAATCCACATGTCACTATTGAAACGGTTATGAAATCTGCTAAGTTGAACGTTTGGTGCGCCATGTCAAAACATCGATTGATCGGTCCATTTTTCTTCGAAGACGATACTGTTAATGGAAAAAATTACTTGTCATAACTTCAAGATTTTTTTATTCCAGAGGTCAGAAAACTTCACAAGCTTCGATCTGTTATATTTCAGCAAGATGGAGCTCCTGCTCATTTCTCCGCCGACGTACGACAGTATCTCAACAATCATTTTCCTAACAGGTGGATCGGAAGAGGTGGTGCAATTCGTTGGGCTCCACGGTCACCACATTTAACACCTCTCGACTTTTATCTACGGAGACACCTGAATAACAACGTTTACAAATCTCCAATTAAAGATATGGACGAATTGAAAACAAGAATTGATAAGGAAACTAAATCGATTTCAAAAGAAACTTTGAGTGATGTTTTTTCAAACATTGTGAAAAGGATGGATTTATGTATTTCAGTTGATGGAAATCATTTCGAACATTTGTTGTAAACTCATTGCTTTGAAATAAAACTTTAAAGAACCTACTATCATATAATGAAAAAAAAGTCAAATCGATTGAATTATATAAGAGTTATTTACGAAAAACTTTTCGGCGAACTTTTGAAACACCCTGTAAGTTAGAATAATCTGTTGAATCTTCACTTAAGTTTTCATCGAAATCCGTTTCAATCGAATCATCAGATTCATAAGGTTCAATATGTAATTCAATTAAATAATTGCTTGCATAAAGATCACTACTTGCTTCGCGCAAATCATCATATTGATTCACATCAATAGCTAATACATGTATATCATTATTTGAATGTTAGTGAAAATCGATTGAATCACAACCATCCTTGACAAGTTTATCAGATGTAAATGATTTGGTGGACGAAGAATTATTAAAATTTGTGTTAAGGCAAATGTGTCGAGCATTCAACAAAGGACGTCTTTTACATTTTCGTTGATTCATACGTTTTTCATAGCGTTGCTTAGACAATAAAACCGGTGCTACTAAATCATCATTCATTGCACCGTTAATTTTATCAGATATCTAAAGAAGAAGAAAAACGTTTATGGATGCACCACCACTAAGTTGATAAGTTCTCTTCGTAATCTAAAAAGGAATACTAAATGAAATGAACGAAGTGACGCAAGAAGCTAGTATATATAGGGATCTATTTTTTTCTTTCCTCTCTCCTCTTTTCTCTTTCCTCTTTCTCTTCCCTCGTTGTGAATTTCCTATACAATATAGACGAATAACGCAAAAGGAAAGATACTGTACTATATAGTCAGACCGTTGTGTTTACTATAACGGTTTCTTCACGTGGTGATGATTTCTTCTCTCTATAGTTGTGACCTATTCTTATGATTCTTTTTTTTTCTATAATTCATTGACTTTCAATAATCTCCAGGCCTAATAATATGCAGTTTCAACAAATAAAAGCTGCACTATTGTGTGAAAACATTCAAATTTGATAAAAAAAAACTGTCCGAATTAAAAAGCATAATAATCAATAGAACTTCACATAATGGGTGTAGTACGATCGTATACTAGTGTATACGACAATATACGATCGTATACTAGTGTATACGACAATATACGATCGTATACGAGAGGCATTTAACTCCGTAAACGGATGATCGAATAGCGAGTTTTCAAAACTCCGTATTTATTCACGACCTTCGTATACGGAAATTGCTTATCAGCGTTCTTTTCCGTATATGCTCATCGTATACGGAGACCGGGTACGATCTCCGTTTTTCTCCGTTTATCACCATAAACGGTCGTTTACGACCGTGCGTGTTCGACCTGGGTCCTTGTTTATGAAGTCCATATACAATGCTCGTTTATATCAATGTTTCCTTGTATACGATCGTATTTCTTCCTAAACGGCCACGGAGAAATACGAGCGTAATATTGGATCATGTAATACGACGAAATACAGTCGTATACAGAGCGTATTAGTCATGTGTACAGTCGTATACTACCGTATCTGGACTTTGTATTCAAGAAAATGTGATGATTTTACCTGACAACTAATCGATTACATCCTGACAAAACAGAGAAGCAAAAAAAAATATTCATATAAAGAAAGAGAAAAAAAAATACTCATATAAAAACAGAGAAACAAACTATTCATATAAAGAAAGAGAAAAAAGAATACTCATATAAAAGCAGAGAAACAAACTATTCATATAAAGAAAGAGAAAAAAACTTTACGTGAAAAAACAAAGAGTGTTCGATTAGAAAATTGTTTTGAAAAGTGCATGGTGATTCTTGTTTAAAGAAAAACTTACATTACTGACGATGAGTGTGCCTGTAGTATTGATACGAATACAACCACTACCGACAGTTCTGATAGAGAATGAAAATAATCCTATTATCAATCAGAACGATGAGAAACAATTCTACGTCAATGCTATTCGTCGTTTAATTAGGAAGCTTGATCGAAGACTGCTTCCTTTACTGGTTATTTTGGAAATTAGCTCATTCATCAATAGAGTGAGCATTGGTATGTGTTTTTGACTTAAATTATTCATCATTGATGATATTCTCATAGGTCACGCTAAGCTGATGGGCATTCAAACTGATCTGCGTATGACAGACTCGGAGAGTAATTGGGCCGTTTCCGTCTTTTATATTGCTTATGTAAAAAAATGATATTATTGGATTTCTAAATGTTTCAATCCCTCTTTTGTTCTAGCTTCTATTCGTTATTCCTAGCAATCTTCTCATGCGCTTCATCGGTCCGACTTGTTATTTGGCATTGAGTATGCTTGCATGGGGTAGCATTACCATCGGTATGGCTTTTGTAACTAATGCTCGGCAGTTGGTCATTGTCCGCTTTCTTCTGGTAAGTTAATCGGATCTCAACTGATAATAAAACATTTCAAACTTGTCACTGAAGGGCGTAACTGAAGCGGGTTATTTTCCGAGTATTATCATTTATTTCTCTCTTTGGTACTGTAAAAAACAGCAAACTATGAGAATGGCTATACTGGGTGCAGCCGTTTCGGCTTCCGGGGCTGTTGATGGTATTCTAGTGCGTACTCGTCGATGTCAATATAGATAATCTATTTAACCTTGTAGAATCTACTATTATCATTATTCTAGACTTATGGTATCTCGCATATGAAAGACATTGGTGGTCTAAAAAGTTGGCAATGGACATTTTTGCTCGAAGGTTCGCCCATTATTCCGCTCGGCGTTCTTGTCTATTTTCTTCTTGACAAAGTACCGAATGCTGTTCAATGTAAGAGTTTAAAGAACAATAAAACGTATTCAAGATGCTTTTCGAAAATTAAGGGTTGAGTAATATAGAAAAACAACTATTGACAAATCTTCTTCGAGACGATGCCGGTATAGCTGACAGTGAACCTATGCCACGAACCCGACTTTCATGGCGACAAATTCGCTATGTTTTTGTTGATTCGCAAATTTATCTATATAGTATTATTGCTGCTGGTGATTTGGCCGCTATCAAATGTCTGACAACGTTCCTTCCAACTCTAGTTGAAGCTACGGGTTGCACCAAAAATGAAGCACACTTAATAACCACACTGCCTTATGTTGTTGCATGTGTTTGTGCTCTTCTGGTTGGCTATTCGTCATCATGTCGAAATGAACATGGCTATCATCTCTTATTCAGTTTATTAGTCGCTTTACTAGGATTCATCCTAATGCTCACTCTGCCCGATCAGGGCAGAGTGACCATTTGTATCAGCAGTACTGTTACTTGTTGTGGTATATTCTCTGGACTATCTCTACCGCTCTCTTGGTTGACAAATAACATCGGTGGTCATACAAAGAGATCAATGGCAATAAGTTTCGTGATGGGTATTGGTCAAATCGGTGGCATTTTCATACCTCTAGTGAGACTGCTGCTTATGAGAGCTTATAAAATAACCTACGAAGTTCATTTTTAACATGTCAATACCTTTAAACACTATTGAGAGTGATTTTTTTGTAGATTTATAGAGAAGTTGATAAGCCGACTTATCGACGCGGACACTTAATCTGTGGTGGATTGTTAGTTATCAGTATAATTGCTACTATTATTTTACGCATTTATTTAATGAAAGAAAATAATCGGCGAGAAAATTTATCAACTGATCAATATACACGTGAAGCTACTATCAAAGAACCTTGCGATCGAGTAGGTTCATATTCGGTTTCTTATTTTATAGCATCTGTTTTCTAATTGTCGTTAGCATCCCGGCGTACGCTACTCGTTGTGACATGAAAGCTTTTATATCTACCAAAATGAACATGAAAATTAACTATTTTCGAAATTATTGATTATCAATTTGTCTTATAGTTTTTGAACAATAAATTACTGTCAAACAGCAAAAAAAAATTAAAATATCGCCAGAGGGCGTAACACACCACACCTGCTTGAATATTTACGCCTATAATGAGAATACACAACGTTGTATGAATTAATCGTTATTGCATTTTGACATCTAATTAGTGACAGAAAAGAAAAAAAACTTTGCCGTCAAATGCAAAGGCAATAACGAAAAGTGAACGCTACTGCTGTACGATCATTACACCTGTTCTAGACACGTGGCGCACAATATTGAATGGCGCATAATACATGACCGTCATTCGCTTCTGATATTTTTAGCTTCTTTATGATGTCGATACAATACAAAGTAGATCACAAAATAGACCGAAAGACTCTTTACACTTGGCATCAAAAAAGATATTCAAAATGTCAGTTCTTAGTTTCCAATCTTAGTTAAATCTTACTATGTAATTTTTCCACTCTGAAAACAAGGCCAGTTTTTGATATACGAGTGATCAGTTATTTTTCGTCAGTTAAGTTGCGACAATTCTTGACTTCATTTCGTTGCATACTGTCACTGACATTGTGTTACATAAATATAATGGATATTTTTTGTTATGCCCAATGTAAAGTGTCTTTCGATCTATTCCGTGATGTACATTGTATTGAATAGGTCTTATAAGGAAGCTAGAAATATAGACAGCAAATACTCGCCATGTATTATGCATTCCAAGATATTTGTTTGAGTCGAAAAAAGTAAAATTTTTTATCACAGTAGTTTCTTCCTATTTGTAATCACTATGGGAAAGAGAGCAATTTCACTTCTTCAATTCAATTAAGAATATGCACAAATGAATTTATCCAGTGATGCAAAGGCAAGAAGTCACATTTTATTTCAGGTGTTCTTCATACAATCTCGACTTTTATCTCAATCATTTACCATAAAAGCCACGACAATACAGCACATTTTGGGGAATGCAAATCGTTGTTTATGTTAGATTGAGTTTTACACGAGTTATTAGATTATGCCTCAGAAACTAGTTGCTGGATTTTATACAGCAGAGATTTCTAAACAAAGCCTGTTATACCGTTGATCATTAGAACTCACCCTTTTGAGGTATAAGGATAAATTTTTTCTCGCATTTTCTTTTGAATGTCAATCAATAAAAATATGTGAAGACCGCTGAAAAATTTTCAGCATAGTCCATTTTGTAGCCTTTTGTTCTCATTACCCACGGAAAAAAATTATAAAAGTTTGCATTTAAACGCGAACTTTTAGAAAAAAACGCTATTTTTGTGTTTAAACGCATCCTGTTCTATTTTCAACGCGTTGAAACGCATCGTTTTTATTTGCAACACGTTTTTTCAATTTAAAACATCAACTGAAAACAACGTTTGAACGCATGATAAGAAAACGCATTTTTCTCCTCAACGAATGCTAACAATTACATCATTCGAACCCGCTTAATATTATGCATTCGAAAGTTTTTTTTAACATGTATTTAAATACGTTTTATAAGTAAAAACGAAATCTTCTTAAACAAACGCTCTAAAACGCGTTTCTTTTGCTGCGTGTGTCTTGAAAAATTCGTTTTTTATAAAGGTGTTAAAACACTGTCTTTTTAATGCATTTTGCCTAGAAAAAATAGATATTCTAGAGATGCGTTGAAACAAAAGATTGAATTTATGTGGTTTAAGTAAGAGGGTGTGGGGGTAGTTAAATGTAAGAGTAAAACCCATAGTCACATTCATACCATATACAATATTCTGGTCATAACCCTGATAGACTTTTTTTTTACAAAGCGGTTAATATATATATATATCATTGAATCTTTCTACATCTTAAACAAGATAGCTTCTACTTTAGTATAAAGAATTAACTCTACCCTAGAGAATATACTGAGTTAAGGGTACCCAAAAAAGTACCCTGATACCAGTATGTCACAGGAACTTTTGGGTACCAAAGTACTTTCAGGTACTTACAGGTACCTAAGTGGTACTTTGGCAAGTACTCTGCTGGAAAATGCACAGTAATTGGGTATCTAAAGGTACTGATCAAATACTAAATTGGATACCACTGGATAGTAATTCTAAGTACCCTGTTACCAAATTTTCAGTTTGTTCAGGATCGAACCTGATCTTTGACTTTTTAAAATTTTTTCTTTTTCTTGAGATAATTTACTAGATTTTTTTTACTTTATTCAATTTAATTTTTTCAATTCCAAAACCTTAGCAGGAACAATGTCGGAGTCCGACTCAACTTGAGTTGGTCGTAGACCACTTCAGGGTAGTCCGATCTTAATTTACGATCAAGCTCGGCATTTCCTCGACTAAGAAATAGTCAAGAAATAATTTAGAAAAAACTAATTAGTATGAAAATTGATTATTTTCTTATGATTTATCGAGTTGTTTATATAGAACCGTACGTAAAAAAGAAAACGGTGAATCAATAGTCACCACATAGAACGCGAAAAAATTAGGATACCCTGTCGAGATTTCCTCAGTAAAGTTACAGACTTGTGTATCCATGCAGGTACTTATTCAGTGAATGTACTTTTACGGGTACCCCAAACAGTACATACATCAGTAAAATCACTGAGAATTTTCAAAGTACCCATATTGGGTACCCTGCTAGAGCTTTCTCAGTACATGGGTACCCTGAACTCAGTACTTTCTCTAGGGTATGACACAAGTGATTTTCATTAGGGTCGAATCGTGTACTCACCGTCTCCCGTCTTTTACAATCATAAATAGCCGTAACTTGATACATAAGTATCAACTGTATAATCAACGTGTTGCACTGTGTCACACATGATTCATAAAAATCGCAAACGTTAGCCAATATAGAAGTAACAGAAGAACGAGTAATTTAGATCATTTTTAAAGATTAACAGAGCTGTATAGAGTAAAATTTCACTTCAGCATTTCTAATTGTATTCCCATAGAAAAATTGCAAGTAGAAAGAAAATGAAACTCGTTGAAATAGAGTTCAATGAGAATATGTGACTAAAAAATGCTGAAGATTTATATTACTTTTATAGAGAATATACAATATGGCTACCAACAGAGGACAAACATTTATTCTCAATTGCCAATATTTTCGAACAACACAGGAAAACTGTTCGTTTCAGTAATGATGATCTGAAAAAGATACAAGATGAACTTTCTAGCAATGATTTGTACAGCCCTTTCACATTTGTACGTCCGTCAACGCTGTCCAAGCACAACAGTATGCAGTTTGTACTACTCGACAAACCACGACGTATAGTTTATATGATTAATCCTGCCAAAAACAGCAAAGATTTGTTTACTGCCTACGATCCATTTGATCCAGAGAAAGAAAATTTTAAAAAGGATGAAGTGGCGCCCGATGATATTTTGCGTGAATATTCTTATATATCTGTACGTGATAATGCTTGGGATGCGCGTCCAATTGAGCAGTTAACTCTTATTCTATTCGATGTTAGTGGTTCGATGCAAAATACACCGGCGAGAAATTCTAAAAATCTTCTTGATTTGAGCATTAGTGCACTAGGCGCATGGTGTGACAAATTCTGCTCCAATCGACTACCGCATGCTATAGGTCTCATTTACTGTGGTGCTAAAATAACTGCAACAACTCAACTTATCCATGAAGCTTGCCCGATTACAAATAATTTCAATGATTTTGAAAAATCGTTTAGTTCTCGACCGGATTGTGGTTCGTCAACTCCATTGTATGATGCAGTTGAATTTGCATTGAAGATAATGAACCAGTTTTATGAACAACACCGAAGCAAAATGAGTCCTAATTACCATAAACTTATCGTTTGCCTTTCTGATGGCGAAGATACGTGTAGTAATATGACGTTACCAACAATTGCCGAGAGACTTAAACAAGATAATGTCATTTTCGACAGTATTTGTTTCAACAGCAAAGAGGCAAAATCGCTTGTTCATCTATGTACATCGTCAAGAGGATATTATTATTTTCCAATACCCCATTTAGAAAAGAACTTAATCAGTTTGTTTGAACGGGAACCGGCAATGGTTGTGGAGAGGCGCGATAGAAACGTCTATGGAGTTGTTAAAGAGCCAAAATTATGTGAAGCAAAAGCTCTTCATGTTCCAGCAATCAATTTAGGAGAAGCTCCCGTAAAAGACATAGCAGTATCAAACCAAACTTTGAGCCGAGTTTTACGCGAAGCAAATAATTTGAAGCAAAGATCGCTGGAAAACTTTATTATCTTTGTTTGTAAAGACAATATTCTTTTTTGGAAAATAATCATGAAAGGTCCGACAGGCACTAGCTATTGTGGTTATACATGGCTCTTGTCTGTCGAATTTCCATCGCAGACGTATCCATTACGACCACCCGAAATTCGATTTATAACGCCTATTTATCATTGTAATATTAGTGAGGATGGAAAAATCTGTCATGAAATATTACGTAGTCACTGGACATCACAGACAACTATGTACGATGTACTTAAGCAAATTGTTAGTTTACTTTTCCAACCAGAACCGAATGATGCATTATCAACAGCTAAAGGTGATCTTTTGAAAACAGCACCGGAAGATTATTTCAAAGAATTAAAGCAACACAACGAAAAATATGCCAAAGCAACTATAGAGGAGCTCACAAATCAATATCAACTTGAACAATTCAGCACTTGATTTTTGTGATTGATTGAACAATTATTGTACAACATAGTCAAGAAAATATTTCTAATATATCAATGAATTTTTTTCTTTATGCTTTTTCAAAAAACTACTTCCTAGCTGTTAAATTCTTTATGCAAAATTGATTTAGTTGATAATGGTCATACAAGACAAGTTAGTAAGTGGTACTAGGACAATTCGTTGCAGGACAATTCGTCGCGGACAATTCGTTGCGGACAATTCGTCGCATGGACAATTCGTTGCAAGACAATTCGTTGCAGGACAATTCGTTGCACGGACAATTCGTTGCATGGACAATTCGTCGCAATGATATAATCCAATTACAACTTATTATTTTTTCATAAATTATTTGGCATATTAAAATGAGTTAGAAACACATAATTCAATAAGTATGATGAATGTAGAGACTATTTTTAACGACTAAATTTCGAACTTTTTTTCGGTTTGTATCGTCATAAGAAATTCTGGTTTGATAAAAAAAATCAGATCTACTTTCTCCACCACGATTAATACTGCTGAGATGAAAAAACCTCAAACTTGAGAAATCATCAAAATAGTGTTAGCACTGTATAAATCACCGCTGAATTCAAACAAGGTTAGTTTTAAACATGTCATATAAGAGCTGATCGTTTTTAAACTAACNTATCTTAGTCGACGCATCTTTTTGTGCTGATTGCGAGTATACTATTTGTTTCTCAAAACGAGTGATTTTTGATAAAGAGAATCTCGAATTACTGACAGAATTTCATGCTTTTTGGGTCTTGAGCCAGAGTTGAATAGTCTTCATTTCCAATACATCAATAACTCGAAAAACCAAAGCTATACTTTTGAAGCCCAATGTCTGCCCTACTAACGATATATGAAACTCAGTTATGTCTTGAGATGCAAAAAACTGGATAGATTTGCAAAAAATTCCATGACATACCATTTTTTCACGTGTTTCTTTCTGTCAGACTTCATCCACTTGATAAGCATATTTTCACTAAACAAATCAAAAGTAGCTCCAATGGGCACAGTTTTTCATGAGAAATCTAAATATCTCGTTTTGAAACTTCCAACGAACTGAAATTTTTTTTTAATTGAAAAAACTTTTAAGAATGTAGGAATGTGTTGGATTTTCTAAAGAAAAATGGACTATTGAATGTTATCGAAAAAGCTTGAGCTTTTCTAATCAAAACCCTTTTGAAAAAATATTAAAACAGATATATTCTTACTCAGTTCGGCGAGCTCTATCTGACTAAGTATAAAAAACGATATAGAAATTTACTTTAATTTCGCGTTATCCGCACCTCACCACTGAAGTACAAGTGAAGTAGGGTGAAGCAAGAAGTCTCGCTTTTTTCCCTTTGGTCAATTTACACCCACCTACACCCTTAATAAAATGTTTCAGTAAAACTAAAACTACGATCTCACACAGAGTATGATTTTTGCAGATAACATATATTAAGGAGGGAAATAAAACTATCCTGAGTGCTTAATGATTCTTTTCGTCAGCTGTCGAAACAGAAACCAAAAAACAAACAAAAGGGAAGAACACATTTCTTTTATTCAACAAGAGGCGTTTTTCATTCATGGTGGTTTTTTAGAAAAATTTTTGTCTTTTTTTTTCTCAGTAACAAAACGAACCCTTGAAAGTGTTGTCTTCTTTGCAGGATAAGAATTGAATCATCGTCGAGTAGTCAAATATTATTATTTTTTTATTTGATATTTTTTTTTTATTTCTGAATGTGCGACGTAATAATTGTTTGAATCAACTTGATTGCCAACAGTGTTTTAACAATTATGACTTTCTTTCTGCTTCACACCCCTTCTTTTCTTCTTGGATTACTCTCATTTATTCCAACTGCTTATACAGCATGTATCTCAAGTGGTGATGAAACTACCATTAATGATCTACTCTCTAGTGGAGGTGCCAATGCCATAGTATCTCTCTGTGCCAATAGTGTATTCAATCTGGGTGTGGGTGTGACTGTGGAGTTGGGTGTCGGTGCGGGTGTGGGTGTGGGTGTGAGTGTGGGTATCTATTGTTTACTCAAAATCATATCCACACCCACACCCACACCCACACCCACACCCACCCACACTCACACCCACACCCACACCCTAGTTCTGTTTTCGAATTTCATCATTGAAAAAAGCACAACGGATAGCTATCAAAGTTTCATAACTGTGCAGTGCGTTGAAAAAAGAAATTGTGCACATCGAGTGAATTCACATCCAGAATTTTAATTTGAACAAAAAGAAAACTACTCTGTTTTCATCCACTCATTGATATCCATGGTCTCTGCACGTGACTCCGTTCATTCTTTAATGTTCAGAGACTCAATGACATTCGAAAAGAAATTTCGGAAGACTTTTCTTGATTTTCGACCATTTTATTGAACTATGATTGATGAAAAACTCTGCAGAAAGTATAATAATGACATTGATAAACCTACGGAACGCATAACAAAAATCAGTCAAAACTGCATCTATGAGGGATTTTATTGAAAAATTTATCATGAAATGAAGAAAAACTATCAAAACTTTGACGAATAAATATGAACCATTCAGATACATTCCACATGAGTTTCTAATTTTTTATTTAGATTATTATTCGAATCACTCTTACTAGTGTTTGATCAGGATCACGCTAGATATTGAATGAATTTTCAGTAAAACATATTGAATTCAGTGTCAAGTTTAAATAGAGCTGTACTATGAGGTACATTCGTACATTCCATATAGATAATCGGGTGAGAAATTTTTGAAGGCTTGGATGGCCAACGGAGGAATATTTTCTAGCTATCTGAACGGCTAATTGAACATTATGTATCGCTATTGATATATTGAAAAGATGGGAATAAGTTAAACCCATTGTATAGTAAATTTCTGATAAAGTTGTATTGTCAGTATCTTGTTTCAAAGCCAAATTGAGTGCTTTATTCAATTTATTTAAAGACATTATCCAGTTCTTTTGCCGATAATAGATTCAACTTTCGCTGTAATATATTCCAATTATCAAAGTTGCTAGTTCTTGTTGATCAATAAATTCGATGAACAATGTTCAGTATAGAGTGAGTGAATATGGTCAAGACATTTTAAAATTGCCTTCGAATAATTGTTTTTCTTGAATAAAATGATCCGAGACTATGAAGTGATTCAATACGTTTTTGAACATGAAGCTGTGAGATTTTTTTAAGTTCCTGAAGATGATTTGATGTTAGACAATTTTGTAACTCGGAATTATCAGGTACGTATGTAATATTTGTACATGATTGGAAGGGAACCGGAACGATCAGCACGGGAAAGATAAGCACTAAACTGGGGTGTGAGTGCCAGTTGGGATAAGAATCTGGCTGTATGTGGGTGTGAGGCGTGGTTGAGAGTGTGTGAAGTGTGGGTGGGGGTAAAGATATGCACGGCACCGAAAAACCTTTCCGTCCTGGTAAAAGTTTTACACGCTGTTTCATCGACTTCATTGTTAAAATATTGTTTAACTGTGCATTTTGTAGAGAAATATTTGCTCCGTCAATCTATACATTTCAAAATATATTACAAGACTTCGTTATCAATGAATTTAACGAAACAATCACTGGGACCAATCTGGCCCCAGTCATCATATTTGCTGAATTAATTCATAAAGCAGAGTGTGAATGTGGGTGTGAGTGTAGGTATGAAGTGTGGGTTATGTTGAAGATGTTGGTTGATGAGAGTGGGTTTAGCTGATGATTAGTACAAACACCCATACCACCTCACAGCCACATCCACACCCTAGTTTCATGCTCAACTTTCTGGTGCTTAACGTTCTCGTGCTTATCGTTCCTTGTGCCCATCGTTCACCAATCCGATTGGAAATATTGTTTTCCATAGCCGAAAAAAATCTGTTTTCAATTTCCTTAATTTGAACTGAATACGATCATATTCAGCTCGATTATATGGTAACAATGAGATTCGTGCGACATCTTGAGATTTTTCTAAATATTCGATAGCTTTTATCATATCCCTTTCTTTTTCGTTGATATTTGAAAATAATAAATATGTATACACCAAATCTTGATCATGATCTGGTAAATATTTGAGTTGAATATTCAATGCTTTCTCTGCTATTTTCAATGCTTTTGTATAATTACCTAACTATAGGTATATCTGTCCGAGATAAAACTGATATTGGTCAATTCTTAATTTATTGTCTCTGGGTTGTGAACGAAGCAAGATTCTTAGTGCCCGCTTCGGAATGACAAAAACAACTTTGACTAAATCGCCCATTCCTAAATAAACACAACTGATATTGTGGTGTGTAACAGATAATGATTCATGATTCTCGCCAAATAGATTTGTATCGATTTCGAGAGTTTTTTCAAACATTTCTAACCCTTTTCTGTAGGCACTCTTTTTATGACATAACATTCCTAAATGATCGTAAATAGCAGCGAAATCCGTGTGTGTAGACACTGTTCCTTTCAAAACGAATTTTCAATGCTTGATTCAAATGTTTCATGGCATTGTCACCGTCATCTAGATGAGTGCAGATTTTACCGATATTAATATGCATCGTGCCTAATACAAGAATATATTTATTTGTTCTCAAAATTTCTTCTTCAATGTTTAATGTTTTTGAAAATATTCCAATGCTAAACAAAATTCACCGTTTTCACGATATATCATGCCCATTTGATTGTACGCAAGTGAATTCCTATAGGCGAAATGGCAGATTTGTTGACTTCTAAATTTCGATGAAATTGAAAACAAAAAATTTAAAGTTCATAACTATAAGATGCAAGAACTGGAAGAAAACCAAAGAATTCAACGATATTTTCAGAAGAGCTAAAACTTAAGTATATCCTTCGTCATATTGACATATCTGTCGTGGTGTGTATCATTCACTTTTCTTGCATTATACATGTTTATATCCTCTAGCTAAAATAAACGGTATATCATAGATGAAGCATATCTTTTGAATCGTTTATGACCTACATAAATGAACCATCATTACACTTGAAAATTAATATCCATTGCAATGACTTTTACTGATATGCAAAACACATTTAAACAATAAAGAAAATATTATTGTCATATATCGCGTATTTACAGTTGGGGCTAATGTAAACTCCCGCTATCGTTTTTTTTTTGTTTTTGTTACTATACTTATTTTATTTTTTAATCTACCTTATATAGAGAGAAAGCCCGAAACGCGCTGCATCTTTTGATATATTTACCTTGAGCATTAAGTACAGTTTGAAGTATAAGAAATGTATTAGAAGATATAACGCGACATTTTGTTTTACTACAAGACCGTGTGCCCATACTGGTATAAGGTTTTTTATTTCGCATCTATCTCGGATTAGGTAAATGACGAAACCTTGGATTCTTTTCCAAAAGATGCGTCTTGAAAAGCTGTATAAAAACAGTATGATTGAGTTTCTGTTCTAATGGTTTTCTAATACTCAAAATGAATAAATTGCATGAGAGTGTCACTTCGCATCATACTAAAAAAGCTTCAAGGACTTTTTTCATTCACTATAGGATTTGGTCGATATAACTTCTGTAGAGCTTTCGACGTCACATCTTTTAAAGAAAGAATCAATATTATATCGCTTTCTCAAGTCGAGATATATGCAGAACAAAAAAATCTTCCAACCTTTTTGGTATGACGGCAAGTGCTCCTGTCATGTAAGCTGTTCATTTCAAGTATAAGAAAAACCATTAGAAAAGGTAAAAAGGCATTTCACCATACAACTTTTATAGAGCTTTTCACGACGCATCTTTTGGAAAGGAATTCAAGGTTTTATCATTTACCTAATCCGAGATATATGCGAGATAAAAAATGTTACAAAATTATGAACACATTATAGTAAAAAAAATGTCACTTTTTTGTCTAATACACGTTTCACACTTAAAAATACATTCGGTGTTCATCATAAACATACCAAAAGATGCAGTGCGTTTTGGGCGTTCTCGCTATATACGGTAGATTAAAAAATAAAATAAGTATAGTAACAAAAACCAAAAAGAAACAATAGGGGGAATTTCAATTGGCCTCAACTGTATATTTTATATCTATGCATAAACTTTCTCTTTTAACATGTTGAATACTTTGTTGGTAAATAATTTACTAAACATTTTTGTCTGATTTATATGATATAATTCTATTCAAAGTACACCAAAACAATTGCAATTACGACGATCGTTGAATTTCGTTTAAGAGTTTGGATCAATTCGAATGTGTCCGGAAAATAAACTCATTTTATTTTGAGTATGCGAGAACTAGTTTGAAATGGAAACATATCGAAATACTATCATGCACCTTCAATAAGAGTTTTCAATAAGATTGAATTCATTTTTCCTCATGACTAATATATATATATCAGAGGTCCAAGCAGGCCACTAGGCCTGCCTGCCTGCCTGGGCCTGCCTGCCTGTCACAGGCACAGGCCACGTTTTTTAGGCCTGGCCTATGACAGGCAGGCCAGGCCGACCCCTCAACCAGGCCAGGCAGGCCGCTTAAAACACCAGGCCGCCTGGCCTGTCTGTATTCTTTATAAATATAGCTTTTTTTCCAATATACATTTTTTTAAACAAATTGAGGGTAATGCTAACGATCTGGAGAAGTATAGAATAATGTTCTGCNTCTGTCAGACTTCATCCACTTGATAAGTATATTTTCACTAAACAAAATCAAAAGTAGCTACAATCGACACAGTTTTTCATGAGAAATCTGAATATCTCATGTTGAAAATTCCAACGAAATGAAATTTCTTTTTTAATTGAAAAAACTTTTAAGAATTTAGGAATGTGTCGGATTTTCTTAATAAAAATTGGCCATTGAAGGTTATCGAAAAAGCTTGAGCGTTTCTAATCAAAATCCTTTTGAAAAAATATTAAAACAGATATATTCTTACTCAGTTCGGCGAGCTCTATCTAACTAAGTATAGAAAACGAAATAAAAATTTACTTTAATTTCGCGATATCCGCACCTCATGACTGAAGTACAAGTGAAGTACGGTGAAGCAAGTAATCTCGCTTTTTCCCCTTTGGTCAATTTACACCCACCTACACCCTTAATAAAATGTTTCAGTAAAACTAAAAACCACGATCCCACGTGGAGTATGATTTTTGTAGATAACATATATTAAGGAGGGAAATAAAACTATCCTGAGTGCTTAATGATTTTTCTCGTCAGCTGTCGAAACAGAAACCAAGAAACAAACAAAAGGGAAGAACACATTTCTTTTATTCAACAAGAGGCGTTTTTCATTCATGGTGGTTTTTTAGAAAAAATTTTATCTTTTTTTTTCTCAGCAACAAAACGAATCCTTGAAAGTGTTGTCTTCTTTGCATGATAAGAATTGAATCATCGCCGAGTAGTCAAATATTATTTTTTTTTATTTGATATTTTTTTAATTTCTGAAGGTGGGACCTGATAATTGTTTGAACCAACTTGATTGCCAACAGCATTTTAACAATTATGACTTTCTTTCTGCTTCACACCCCTTCTTTTCTTCTTGCATTACTCTCACTTATTCCAACTGCTTATACAGCATGTATCTCAAGTGGTGATGAAACTACCATTAATAATCTACTCTCTAGCGGAGGTGCCAATGCCATAGTATCTCTCTGTGCCAATAGTGTATTCAATCTGAAAAATCCAATCGTTTTTACAGCTTCTAATCAAGAATTATCTACACAAGGATATCCTACAGACTCTACACGTGCGACTCTTGTTGTCACTGGTGTTAATCAGACTGCTGCAATTATAGGTAACTGCGATCAATGTTCTGGTTTGAGACTTCGAAACATCCAAGTGAATGGTAACAGACCAGCTCTAGGATTATTTGATGGTAGTGCGAATATTGAGATTGGAGGACCTACTAGTAACCAACTTGTGGACCGCGTACATTCCTACGAACCTCGAGGATGGTCATGTCTGCATATCACCGAAAGTGGAATAAGTGGTTGCAGGAATGCAACTATTACTAACAATGAAATAGGTCCCGCAGGCGATTCTGCTGGTCATTGGGCAGATGGCATATCCATGGCATGCACACGTAGCTTGGTTGTAAACAATGTAATTACAGATGCTACAGATGGTGCTATTGTGATTTTTGGTGCTCCTTTTACCACAGTCAAAAACAATACTATCATTGCTATATCTCGCGTGCTTCTGGGTGCTATCAACATGGTGGATTATGATCAATATTCCGGAGATTATACTGGTGTTACAGTTACGGACAATACTATTTGGGCTAAATCAGCATTCATTAAAACAGGTATTTCTATTGGTCCAGCTGTGTGGGGAGCAGATAAAACAAACTATAACCGCAATGGTATAGTTCGTCGCAATACAATTAAGGGTGATAATATGGGTTATGGTATTATTGTCTCTGGTGCACATAATTTTACTGTCTTAGACAATATCTCTACCGCGAATTACAGTGGTGCTTTTACTGCGAGTTGTGACACGCCTAATAATGCACCTCCAATGGCATTTCTAAAAAGTACTAGAGCTGACGGCAATTTTCAATCAAATTTTGTCTTAGGCAGAGCTCAGTACATCATCTGTATAGAACCAGGTCTCTCTAGCACTTACACCTATCAATCAGGACAGTTGAATTTATATTCCGATGAACAAATCAATTTGCAAAATGCTATTTTCATCCTGCAAATTGACGGAAATTTAGTTCTCTATCAGGGAGATTCTCCGCTGTGGGCATCGAATACTTGCTGTACTGACTGCACTAATAAACAATGCAGACTCACCTTCACTAGTGAAGGTCGATTAGTTATATACAAACAAAAAAAAATATTAATTTCATGGCCACCTGCTTATAACGGCATCTTGACATCTAGTTCTGTTCGTATCTCTAGTATGAGTGCTTATTTCACTTTCATTGATGGCAATAACAATTATATATGGGCCTCTTCCTATGATTTTTATCCTTCCTTTCTTCTCAACAATGGCAATTTTGTTCGCCAAATGGTAGGTACCACGCCTATTTATCTTACCTTGTTGAATAACGGAAACCTTGCTATATACAGTGGAGCCATTAGCACAGGAACATTATTGTGGCAGACTTCTCTCGGCGGGAAAACCTGCAGCAAAGGTTGCTTTCTCTCATTTCAAGAAGACGGAAACGTTGTAATATATGGTGATCAAGGAGCTCTTTGGGCAACAGGCACATACCCTTCGGGTGCAAAATTATTGTTCAATATAACTCCTCCCTATTTGCAAGTTTACAATTCTACTGGCGCTGTTATTTGGCACTCTTGATCACGCCGCACCACTATTGAACTTAAAATTATTTATTTTAAAGATATTTATTCTCCTTTTTTCTTATATATGTAATCATATTTTAGTTAGTTTCTATTTAAAAATAGACTTTTAACTTTCTCATATAGATGCTACTACCTTTCAGCCACTGGTTCTTTTATTGAAAGACATCACGTGAAAATCATGATAAAAAGACAAAAAGCTATTGAATCGTATAATTTCTAAACCATATACAAAGTTGGTGACGAAGACAGAATAATTGCTTAATTTTAATCATTCTTTAAATTGATAAAATTATAGGTATGACATGTGTGTATAGAGTATATGCTACTGAATACTGCAATCGCCCAGATGGAAAATTTGAGTTTGCTTGATCAAGACTGACTTTATCTATCTTCATATCCCATATTGAGTAGACTTCTAGAATTCAAATCCTACTCTGACGTTCAGAAACGAAAAACAAGATATTTTTACACGTTAAAAAATTCGAAAAATCATTTCGTATTCGTACTTAAATCGTTGCTCCTACATTTGAAGTAATAATATCTACTATTCTACTGAATACATACTAGTTCATCATATTTAGGTTTTTTTAATGAAAAGATGTTTCTCCACCAAGTCTATTATAATACAAGTTAGATACCGATCGAAGACAAATATGAATTTTCCTCTTGATGAAAACTTAACTGTATGCAGTCTTGAAGCACATATCAAGAATAAATTTATTAAAAATGTTATTAAAGAGAAAGAACCAACTAAACAAAAGTATCGAGAAGCAGTCGAAAAAGGTCTTGGTGCCTATTTGATGCATCAACAACGTGTACAACGTTGCTAGTGGACTAAAATAATATGAAAACTTAAGTGGTATATTATCAAATATGCATAGTAGTTCATCAATAGGTAATAGATTAGCCATAACACCAATACAAGTTATTTATCCAACTAGTAGTTCAACATATGTATTGTTTATTGAATAAGAAATGCATAAGAATTAAATTCTATTTCTTTTTGTTTATAGATCGGTTGTTCATCGAAATACAATAGACAAAGCAATAAAATTAGGCACAAAAGAAAAAAAATGCGGAATCATTTGTTGATCAACTCAAAGTGGAAGATGAAATCGTAGTAAATACTATTTCAGTGACGTCGGAT